ATGCTAATGTAATAAAAATTTGTCAATAAGCCTAAAAGTCTTTTCAGCAAATATACAAGTTCAAAGTAACTACTGTTTACTGGAGATATAACGTGAGTGTAGCTACTGCAGATCTTCTGGTAAACATGTTAAAAATGTAAAAAGGAACAAGTAAAATTAATTTTCATGTATTTTTATTTAACCCAAAATGTCTAAAATGCCACTTCAATGTCATCAGTATAACACAATGATTAGGATATTTTACATTCGTTTTTCATAGTCTTGGAAATTCAGGGTGTATTTTACATTTCACATCTCAAATCTGATGAGCCACACTTCAGCTGTTCAATAGACTTGTGTGGCTTGTAACTACTGTGTTTGACAGCACACAAATTCTCACTAATTACAGCATTTTCTCCCCTAGTGGTACACAAAAGAAAGATGTATCTCATACTTAGTGATGTCTTAGATGAGATGAAATATGGTAGCTTTTACCTTGTGTTGGGAAAGGGAATTAAGATAGAAATGTTTAGTTATGAAAAAAACTAGCTATGCTTCTCGTACACACCCACTGTGTAGATGACAGCTGTCCAGAACACCATTGCTTGCTCAGGATTCCTAGGTCAGCTCTGAGTCAGCCTCTTGGAGTGCCTACGGTGAGGCAGCCACAGTACCATGGCCGCTGGTTCTTCGTTTACTGCCACCCAGTATGGCTTCCAAGGTGGCTGTGTGTCTTCCCCTAGATGCTCTGTGCCAGACCTCACTCAAACAGGTTTCATAGAGGAGAAGAGCAGTTCCAAAGTACCTTCTGCAGTGACTTTAGGCCAGCATTGTTTTTAAGACAGCCAAGGGGCATGCTGTTGTTCTAATCCTCTTTTCTTCTCCCTCCTTGTGAGGATCAGGAAGTCAGTAATGACAGGAAGACATTTCTCAAAGTCATTGATTTTTCTTTTATTTTTGTGATCAGTTTCTCAGCTGGCATCTCATTGTTTTCAGGTTAAGTACTGCTTGTTTCTCCAGCATGATGCAATTTAGTTAGGACAGTAGCTGGGAATACAGTTGATGGAATGCCAGGCCTCCATGCATGTGCTTTCTCTACTCCACATAAGAGGTACTCTACTCACTAGGTGTGATGAACATAGACACTGGCTTCTAATAACAAAATGAAAGTTATACTTGCCTGATACATGTAGTTTAGATGCATTTTAGTGTTCTGGATATTCAGAGAACTTGAAAAGCGTGAATCCTTTGTTAATCTGCATACATTTCATAGCACGGTTTCTCAAAATATTCAAAATATAATTATCCTGAAAAGCTGAGCCCTTGGACTATTGGGGTATGGGATACTTGAATATTAAGGCAGTACCTCTAGGTACTAGAGACTGCTTTAAGAAGCCTAACATAATGGTTCTAACTGTGGGCTCTGAAGTCAGACAAGGGTTGCAAGCCAACCTCTGTCATTTCCTGGCTGTGTGATTATACACTGATGAATTAACCTCTCTGAGTCCCAACTTTCCTGGGGCTAATATAATATCTACCTTAGAAGGTGATTTTGTGAGATCTATGTGCAACCATCTACTGCAAGTCTTGCTTAAATAGTTCTTGGTAAATTGTACAGTGCCCCCAACCCCCGAACTTATCTCTAGGGGATATATTCAAAGACCCTGATTGATTCCTGAAACCAAAGATAGTACTCAGTGCTATACATATTATATATTTTTAATACATATGTACCTATGATAAAGCTTAATTTACAAATTAGGCATGGTAAGAGATGAACAATAACTAATAATAAAATAGAACAATTGTAACAATACATTGCAATAACAGTTATATGAATGTGGTCTTTAAGTATATGATTGTGCCACACTCATCCTTCTTGTGATGATGTGAAATGATAATATGCCTACATGATGAGATGAAGTGAGGTGAACGATGTAGGCATTGTGACATAGCGTTAGACTGCTGCTGACCTCCTGGTGATAGGTCAGGAAGATCATCTGATTCTGGACCACAGCTGACCTTGGGTAACTGAACCATGGTAGGCAAAACCATGAATAAGAGGGGGACCTCTGTATTTGTAGTGGGAGGTGGCAAACCTTTTCGTAAAGGGCCAGATAATTAACGTTTTAGGTTTGGCAGGTGGACTGTGAGGTCTCTGTCGCAACTAAGCTTTTTGTATGCGGCAGCATAGACAGCATGTAAACAAGTGAACAGGGCTGTGTGCCAATAAAACTTTATTTACAAAAATAGGCTGTGGGCTGCCGTTTGCCAAACCCTGTTCCAGGCAATGAGGTGCCAGTAGAGGTTTAGTGCAGGAGGGCGTTTGGCCTGCAGGGCTCTGTGCTCCAGGGTCTCTTGAACACAACATTTAAGTGCACAGAGCTCAGTCAGCCCGCTGAGCTTTTAGCCAGGAGGCAGTTTTGTCTCTGAGCGGATGCCTTTGCTATGCAAGTGGTGTCAAAGATCCCTGGCACTTGTAGTTCACTCCCCCTCACTTCAGCCTTCCCTTTCCCTACCCTGTTCTTCATCCCCGTCTCCTTCCCCTTGTTCCTCCCTCATCTCTGCGCAGCCTACCTGAAGTTGGTCCTGTTCTCCCCGCTCAGTCCTCCCAAGAGCATCCAGACGGCAGAGACCACCAGCCAGTCCCCTGAGGAGGCACCTCCACGTCCGGGGAGGGGCCAGCTCATCACTGGCTGCTCTCTGAGCATCTTTCTAATCAGGGCCCTCGGGGCAAGGCCTGCGTTTTAATGATCTGGAAGCAGGCAGTCATGTTGTGGGAAAAGAAAAGTGACAGTAACACAAAGGTAGTGGGAGCCCTCTCTGATTCAGCACAACAGTCAGAGGTGATTTATGTCTCCCGAATTCCCCAGCTGCTCATGTCAGTCCTCACATCAAACACCCCAAATGCCTCCCTTCAAAGCTTCCGTTACATTCCACCCAGAAAGCACAAAGGACTGGGAATTTCTTTCTAGGAGACTGATTAACCGATTTTCCCTTCATACAGCAAGCACAAAAATACCAAGGCTGATCTGACATTGCAGTGGGTTAAGGTGACTTCACTGTCCCTAGGCCTTCCCTCTAATAACTTACATGTATTTTACATATATATAACTAATAACTTACATATTTTTTCTAAGACCCGAAACCCTGTCAAGCTAAGGAAGAGTCTCCCAAGGCGATAAATTAACCAAAATGCTGGGCTACTAACTCCACCTAAAGATACGTGAGCCTGATACGCCTTTCCTGCTTGTTTTTGCCACTGTGGTTCTTTGCATTTGACAATTACCCCTCGGATGAAGACGGCCCCTGCTTCCGGTCTGAGGCCCCAGGGGTGGCCCTACTCTCAGTTCCAGGGCATGCTGTTGTTACCTTGTGTACAAATTTCTAATGAGATTTCGGCTTTTTGCCGCCCTCTCCTAGGGATGGCTCGGGATTCTGCCGGTCGCTCATTTGTATCCGTGACTTTTACAAATTAAAACACAGAAACTTCTAGACAAATGAAAACATGTTTTATTTACAAGAAAAAAGTCTGTACACTGTGTATACATAAAAATATACAAAACCAAAATAGAAAATATCAAAGGTGTTAAAATGTATACAAACACTTTTAAAATGTGACTCTTGGAAAAACCTCAGGCCTTCATTAGTTTGAAGGGTACACATTCCAGTTTAAAAATTATCATACAAAAAAATTCCCAAAGCTGTTAAAAAAGTTCACTGGTTCCCACCGGAAAAATGTCATACGTGTTTTATCTGGAGTAGAACAAGATGTGCGGCATCAGAAATGTTAGGTGTTAGCACTATCAGTGCAGTTAATTTGTGTGAAACCTACCTGGTAAGAAGACTATTTTCCATGAAGCCAATATTCACTTTTGCCCCTAACCTTGTAAAAGCCATGAGCTATATAATAAATAACCTTCTCATCAATGTTCAGCGTCACATTCTGATGAGGCCACAGTGTTCAGGGTTCTACCTGCATAGTGCCTTTTAAATATTTCTGCCATACTTTTTAACATACCCAGGGTGTGTAAAATATCAGTGTGTGGGAAGACCGAATTTTTTTTTTTTTAATAGAAGGACATATAACATTTACGTTTTTCTATTAAAACACTGGCGTTTGCATAATTAAAATAAAATTGGTTGTAAAGGTTTTAGGAAAAGTTTGATGAAAAAAGACAATATAAAACCAACATGTGTGTAGATACGTATATATACAATTATATAACTATATCTACATGCACACTTTTGTAACAAAAGTAAGAACTATAGAAATGTCTTTAATTCTTTAAATTCTATCATTCCAAGCTTGTAGAGGAGTATGCTGGATTATTACGTCTTACTAAAAGGCTTCATTTATTTAAGAAAACAAGAATCAGAACTTACATTTTATCCTTGAATTCACAGAGAGATACCTTTCATTTACCAATTGTGTAAACAATGCCCAAGTGACAAGAACATGCAGAATATTTTCACAATGGAAATGTCCAGAGTATAAAAAGAAACAAGTTTGAACGCAAGCACATTTTACCTAAGCAGTTAACTTCTAAATGTAGCTGCCTTCGTCGGCTGTCACAACTGAGAAAGAGTTCTAACCTATCAGAAAGTGGGAAGTCGAATCGGATAATGTGACAGAGTATCAGAATATATTCAGAGACTATTTGGCCTGTCATGGATTTCTCGATAATTCCCTACCTCCCTCTCTGCCTCTTCTCATAGTTGAGCAGAAATGAGACCAGGTCACTCTACCTATCAGCCTTGAACATGCACTGTGTGTTGATCTCTAAGACAGGCTGGAGAGAGAACTTGAATCATGCCACTTGTGCATAAAAAATGCTTCCATCATATGCCATTACTCACGTGAGACTGATCCCACTTAATGCAGCCGAACAGGACCTAGACCTAATTAATTCAGTGGATGTACGTGTTCCTGCCCGGAAGGGTCAGCTAACAACATAAGGTATTAATCTGTTCCACTGGAAGGAACTGGCTCATAAACACGTAACAGAGCAATCCCATGGTAGTTTCAAACTGTTACTTTTATTTCCCAATTTTGAAAATGCTAACGATTATTTCAGCATTGCATTGTCCAGACACTATGGCTACAATGACAGATTATTACTGGTGAGTTCAGGATTGATTAAACGTCTGGCTCAGAGACCTAGGGCAGGACACACTGGAAGAGTTGTGACTGACGCAGGGCTCCTGGAGTTCTACATACAGGCAGACAAGGAAAGACCCAATAATTGGAAGATGTGCAAAAGTCCCTCACTTTTAATACATTTTATATTCATTTTAATACATGCCCTTGATGTTGCATGGTGCATATATGCAACTTTTAATTGACCACCTCTTGGCCTATGCACAAAGTTCCCAATAAAAGCAGCCTTGTTAAGGACTTGGGCTGGAAGGAAGGTCAGGTACGCAGGGCTGGCACTGGTATTCCCTGGGGACAGTGAGCTTTCAACACCTATTAAACCCCATCCTCATACCTGGTAGAGGAACTGGGGAAACTAGTCAGGGAAAATCTAGATAAGGTGCCTTGTCATTCTTGGTCAACATTTGTTTCTTTGTGATAACAACCACCACCACCAAAGATCTCCTGAAATTATCTTCAATTGAAGATAATGGCTTCAGGTTGCACCTTAAGGATTTTATCAGTGTCCCTTCCAGAAGTGGATGGAGCATTTTAGAAGGGACAGAGCCTGGGAGAAATGTAATAGGACAGCATTTATTGTTAACTACTCCACAGAAGAGCTGTGTGTTTATTGCAGTTCAGTAAATGTAGCCTAGAAGGACTTAATCAATGTCTGGCAAAATACTACCACTTAGGACCAATTTAGTTAATACCAGATGCAGTCATCATGTTAACTGTAACTGCCTGATATTTTTGAGAGGCTAAACAATTTAAACTTTCAAACAGAAGAATGCCCAGCCATGCTATATTAATATGTGTACCACATTTTCTGAATGTTTAACAGACCCTGATTCCCAAGAGTCTTTAAGGCCATAATAAATTCAAAAATTTTAATTAAATTTCCTTTATGCTCTTCAGTCTTTCTTGTAACCTCAGTGAGACTGAAAGGACTTTTTAAAGTACACGCGTTACAACAAAATGCTATTTAAAAATCTTTGAAGTGTTTTCTGGGGCTTCTGAACTTGAATATTTATATTGACCCCGATAAATTTTCCTTTAGCCAAGCTCTTATGTCACTGAAGGGGGTTGTCCTGTATAAAAAGAAGGTCAGAAGGAAATCCACCAGGAAGGCTATCAAAGGAACTTCAATGTCATGGGCATTTGAAGGCAGAGCCTGGAAGGTCCAGGGAGAACCAAGGCCACAGGAGGACTGCTCACTCACCGTGATCAGAGTTACCTCACCAGCATCCAGTCACTGAACTCCTTATTCCACATGGGGACAAAACTAAGCTCTTTTAGGAAACCAGAGAGAAAAGTGGCTTGACCATGTCTGCTCACACATAAGCTAATGTGTAGGATAAAATTATGAATCTATTTTCATAGTTCAAGAAAGAAAGTTCTAAAAATAGGCTTTTAGTGGATACTGTCATGATTAAAACTTTTCAGTTATTCCTACACTTCACTATCATAATAAGCCATAGGAAATGTCTATTACCTAACCTGATTTCTGGGGAGTTAGCCTAACCAAACAGAAGCTGTCAATTTCTATAAACCATTCTTGCTCAAGAAAGTAGTTTTGAAAGCACTCAGGAAAAAACCAATCCTGGAACAAAAAAGAAAAAAGAAAAAAAAAAAACTTTCCCACAAAACTCTCTTGACATCTACACACTTGCAAGGGAGAACAGATTTTTAATGAAAAGAAGTCTTATGTGTACTGCTGAAAAATGTTTCGGTTATATAGAGAGATAGCATGTTTAATTAAGGTATTCCAAAATGTTTCTGTTTCACTACATTCATAGCAAAAAAAACCTGTTTTTCAATGTATCAGTGACAAAAGCTGAGATTAAAACCAAAAGAAAACAGAACCGAATACAGTTAATGCACTGGGGTGACACCTTCCTCCCCTCTATGAGCTGTTGCCTCTCAAGCATGTAGGTATTTTCCTTCTTGTTAAAGAGCAACCTTTTCACACAAGTTTACTTAATTATGTGGCTTGTGTGTTGCTGAGATAAAATATATCTGTGAAAACAGGGGCAGGGTTCCTCACTGTCTGTCTGTAGGGGAGAATTAGTGAAAATCCAGAACATCACTGCTAGGTTTCCAGCAGCTGATATTGACCTGAAAGAAATCCCCATGAAAGAGACAGGTGTGCATCCCCAGAAGCACAGAATGAAGGCTCCGAAATTCTCCTTCTAGATTGGAAGGAGCCCTTCCTCACGGACAAGGGGGTCACAAGTGTCTTGAGTGTAACAGCGTAAGGGCTGTGAGAACTGGCAGCCAAGGAGGTACAGTGCGCAAAGGCTGGAGCTGGGAACATCCTGGTCCCGGGCCACCCTGCAGCCAGCCCAGTGATTCTGTGTCTACTTGCCAGAGTAAGAAAATACTGCAGGAAAACAAAGTGTCTCCTTTGCAGTGCTATTCCAGGAGTGGCTTTTTCTTGGACTGCTTGAGATGGATGCTTTATGGTTTTAGAAACAAAGCAAAAATTCAGTGGGCAATGGGAAATGGAGCTGGGGAATATGCAACAGTTGGGGAACATGTGCACCTCTCAACATATACTGGGGATTCTGCTGTTAAACACATCTGAGTGATAATTCAGATGGTCGTCATAATCTCTAGGGTATTTAATAACGAATGAATGTACAAGGGACACATTAGGTGCTATAGATACCGTACCTTGACAAGGGTGTATAAACCATTTCATAGTATCAGGTATATCATGGAAAGAAACCTGTAGCTGAAACCAACCCTGATAAGGGGTGCCCACGGCATAAGAAAAGGCTAACATTTCTGGAGGTATAGTACCCATTCGTCACACATTTGCTTTTTTCTTTTCTTTTCTTTTTTTTTTTTTTTTGCATCTTTCTTGAGCTTTTTCATTTTAAACTCCATTTCTGTATTCAAAGTAGTAATAAATACTCAATGGCTTAGAAAAAGAGGAATTCTTGCGGCCACCACTAAATTACAGTCTAAAGACTGAAGACTACATTGCCTAAAATATATCTTCAAGTATTCTTCTGGGACTCAGAGTACGACAGTAGTACCTTATTGCACATGGGCTCTCAAGAGCCCCTCTTCAAGAGTGCGGACCGACGCGCCTGGGCGCAGGGCAGCGCACCGCCCGGAGCCCCGGCAGGACCACCTTCCCCTTGCGGTGCAGGTCCCCCTGGGCGCCCGTGTTCAGCCGCTGCACCAGCAGCTTCTCGTAGAGCAGCGGGTGGTACGCGCCGAGCGTGCAGGCCGCGTCGTAGTACAGCTCGTGGTAGTGGCACAGCTCCGTCTGCCGGATGGACGGGATGTATTCATACACGTGCACTTCGCTGCACATGGACATCATGATGAGGATTCCTGCCGTGGAAAGAAAGTTAGAAGCCAATGACCAACTCCGAGCGGGAGCGAGAATGTTCTGGAGCCGTGGTGGACGGAATGACTGTAGCAACAGGCACTTGCCCTGGGCTCGTTTTCCTGTTACTTTTACCGTGGCAGTGTCAGAACCTCCAGCAAGTGGCCTGTCTGTGGCTCAGGGGCTGTGGGGGCCTGAGATGTGGTACTGTTATACATTCACAGGATTCACAGGATTATTGTGGGAGGCGCAGTTACTGTACTTAACAAGACATAATCTAGTGAGTGAGGTTTGCATTCTCCAAGTTCACGTGTTGCAGTCCACAGACAGGTTCTGTTCTCATTTGCAAGAGTAGGGCTCTTACGTTCCAAACAAACACATGTTTAAAAAAAAAAACCAAGGGCTATAAAATAGCTTCTTGATTATAAAATATATGAATGGAAAGAGATGGAATTGGGAAAGAGAGTTTAAGATTCATGATATCAAAATTATCTCCCTATGTTGCAAATAGAGTGCTATCAAACCTCATCCTAGGCTAGGGGGCTTTCTTTTCCCAGCACCACCACCACCTTTGTTCCCATCCTTTAAACTTTAAGCAAATATATATGCTTATGCCTTTTAGGAAAGAGATATCCTTTATGAAAAAAAGATAGTGGCAACAGTTAGCTCCTGTTAGAGGCAATATCTATCTGCAGAGGACAGTTATATTTCTAATTAATCAACCATGAAAACCCTTACAGCCAGAGAAATTCACGCATAAGGGCCACTGGGAGAGAAGAGACCAGGGGCCAAATGTTGTCTGGGGGTTCAGAGGAGTTGCTCAGGGAGGTGAGGCCTGCACCTATGGGGCAGCCTGGCAGACAAGGGGAGACAGGGAAGCAGGAGAAAGGGATGCTGGTCCAGAGATGACAATGGCATCCTGTTTAGAAGCCGGGAAAGGTATGACTTGAGAGCCATGACGTAGTAGTGTGGCTGAGAGTAAAAGATATTCCTAACAGAGAGAAGGAGGTGCTTCTGTTCAAAGTCTCAAAAGCAAAACTGTTCTCAAGAGCTATGTCAAAACTTCAAGCTACTGGTCTGTTCCTCCCCTTTTCCTCCCACAACCCACTTCTTCTTCCTCCTCTTCCATGGCTGACTTGCTGCTGGGTTGTGACCCCTTCCTCGGGAAGGCCGAAGGTGACAGCGATTCAGGTGGAGCTAAGGGCAAGAACCTTCCTCCTGAAGTCACCAAGGAGAGCGGGTATCAGTACCTGAAGATACAGCACAGGTGATAATGGAGTCTCCCTCCTTCTGATAATTACTGCTCTAGGAACATTTTGTCCCCCTCCTCATAAAATCATCTGTAAGGAACTCACATTGCAAATGAGAAAGCCATGTGCCCAGGGCGAACTAAATCCCCCACCTTTTTTCTGGTTACTTTACACCTGCAACAAACAATGTGTATGTTCTTCATCAGGGAGTGTCACAGGACCTGTGTCTATGGAGTTAAGAATGGCTTCAGTGTTTTCATTTTTCAAAAATATATTTTTTTTTTAATGTTTACTTTTGTGTGTGTGAGAGAGAGAGAGACAGGATCCAAAGTGGGCTCTACATTGAGAGCACAGAGTCAGATGTGGGGCTTAAGCTCATGAACCACAAGACCGTGACCTGAGCAGAAGTTAGATGCTTAACTGACTGACCACCCAGGTGCTCCAGCTTCAGTGTTTTAATCAGGAGCTATGGAACAAGTTCTTGAACCGCAACACCTGGAAGCTGGCTGCTCTCCCTCCCCTGGGCATGGTACGTGGCTATGCCAGCTTTGCCCAAGGAACCGCATTGAAGGGTCCTGGCATCCCTCACATACCTAGATGCTTTTCATTAATACAATTATGACAACTACTTTCCTGCAGATGGCAGTGAAGAGCCTTTGAGGGTGTCTTGCACAAAGGCATCTCGAAAACTAGCAATGGAACTGGACCAGTCTCCGTTTACCTGGGTTGTGTTGTCAGCCAGTAAAAGAAACTCTTCCCTGAGGGCTGTAGTCAAATGTGTACGAGTTGCCACTTTTGCAACTCTGCTCATTAGAGTGTTAGAGTGGATGGCTTTCAGAAGTTAATCTCATAGTTAAATGTCTTAGCCACGTTATTGGCTCTTCTCCTAAAGCAGTTCTCAAGCTTCAGCATGAAAAAGAATGACCAGGGCAGCATGCTAAATGTCAGTTCCTGAGACTTGTTCCCATTTCCAGAGATCTGGGTGCCACTAGTGTATGTTGGGATCCAGGAAACTGCATTTTTAAAAAAATTTCCTCATGGCACAAAAACAGACACTCAGATCAATGGAACAGAATAGCGAACCCAGAAATGGACCCACAAACTTATGGCCAACTAATCTTTGACAAAGCAGGAAAGAATATCCAATGGAATAAAAACAGTCTCTTCAGCAAGTGGTGCTGGGAAAACTGGACAGCAACATGCAGAAGAATGAACCTGGACCACTTTCTTACACCATACACAAAAATAAACTCAAAATGGATGAAAGACCTAAACATAAGACAGAAAGTCATCAAATTCCTGAGGAGAAAGCAGGCAAAAATCTCCTTGATCTTGGCTGCAGCAGCTTCTTACTCAACATGTCTCCGGAGGCAAAGGAAACAAAAGCAAAAATGAACTACTGGGACCTCATCAAAATAAAAAGCTTCTGCACAGTGAAGGAAACAATCAGCAAAACTAAAAGGCAGCCAACAGAATGGGAGAAGATATTTGCAAATGACATATCAGATAAAGGGTTAGTATCCAAAATCTATAAAGAACTTATCAAACTCAACACCCAAAAAACAAATAATCCAGTGAAGAAATGGGCAAAAGACATGAATAGACACTTCTCCAAAGAAGACATCCAGACGGCCAACTGACACATGAAAGAATGCTCAACAGCACTCATCATCAGGGAAATACAAATCAAAGCCACAGTGAGATACCACCTTACACCTGTCAGAATGGCTAACATTAACAACTCAGGCAACAACAGGTGTTGGCAAGGATGCCGAGAAAGAGGATCTCTTTTGCATTGTTGGTAGCAATGCGAGCTGGTGCAGCCACTCTGGAAAACGGTATGGAGGTTCCTCAAAAAACTAAAAATAGAACTACCCTATGACCCAGTAATTGCACTACTTGATATTTATCCAAGGGATACAGGTGTGCTGTTTCGAAGGGACACATGCACCCCCATGTTTACAGCAGCACTATCAACAACAGCCAAAGTATGGAAAGAGCCCAAATGTCCATTGATGGATGAATGGATAAAGAAGATGTGTATATATACACATACACACACACACACACACACACACACACACACACACTGGAGTATACTGAGCAATCAAAAAGAATGAAATCTTGCCATTTGCAATTATGTGGATGGAACTGAAAGGTATTATGCTAAGCAAAATTAGTCAGAGAAAGACAAATATCATATGACTTTACTCATATGAGGACTTTAAGAGGCAAAACAGATGAACATAAGGGAAGGGAAAGAAAAATAATATAAAAACAGGGAGGGGGACAAAACATAAAAGACTCTTAAGTATGGAGAACAAATAGAGGGGTTGTGGGAGGGGGGAATGGGCTAAATGGGTAACGGGCATTAAGGAATCTACTCCTGAAACCACTGTTGCACTATATGCTAACTAATTTGGATGCAAATTAAAATAAAATTAAATTTAAAAAATTTCTTTGAAGTTCATTTATTTTTGAGAGCGGGGGCGGGAACACGTGGAGGGGCAGAGAGAGGGAGACAGAGGATCTGAAGCAGGCTCTGCACTGACAGTAGAGAGTCTGACGTGGGGCTCAAACTCATGAACTGTAAGATCATGACCTGAGATGAAGTCAGACACTTAACCAACTGAGCCACCCAGGAGCTCCAGGAAACTGCATTTTTAATAAACATTCCTAAACTATGTGTGGCATAGTTAAAGGCTGTTAAAAGGCTGTTTAAAAAAAAGTCCAATCTATCACAGACCATTACTTCTACAAAATACAGTACAATGATTTACTAGAAAAATTATCACATATTTGGATGCCATGCTATGTCAAGTTACTACAGAAGTTTCTAAATACTGTCAATTTCTACGATGATCTACTTGTAGACCAATGACTAATGTTTCTGGACCAATGCCGGTCTGCCTACAATGCACTGATGGCCATTCTTTGAGGATTATGTTGGTCTAACACACATATTCTTTGAAAACGTCTTCTGTCAGGGATGCCCATCCTGTCTCTTTAGTAGTTAGACATTCCACATATTAGATTAAATCTAGAGTTGAGTTTGCTACGCACACCGAAGTAAGAAGATCCTTGGGTGGTTTCTCAAGTATTTCCTATTGTCTTCAGCTCAAAGAGCATCTACTAACATGTTTGAATCAGATTATTTTTTTTCTCTAGGAAGTTTCCCAGAGAAAATTTTTACTCTTGCTGCTAGTTATTACATTTTAAGTCATGCATTTGCTAGGTATACAATATAGATTTTGTCAGAAGACTGGGCAAGAAGTTTTGGTTTCCCTGCAAGTAAATAGGTACGTTTTAGCACTTTCATATAAAAACACTTTATATTTAAAAATAACTTCTAGGGGTACCTGGATGGCTCAGTCAGTTAAGTGTTCAGTTTCAGCTCAGGTCATGATCTCATGGTTCATGAATTTGAGCCCCACATAGGGTTCTCTGTTGTAAGCCCAGAGCCCACTTTGGATCCTCTGTCTCCCTCTCTTTCTGCCCATCCCGCCCCTCTCAAAAATAAACTTAAAAAATATTAAAAATAATTAAATGACTTCTAGAGCTTCAGAAATGCAGAAACTTGGTTCTTCATTTTAGACAAAATGAAGGCGAGTGGAGGTTAAGAAAGTGTGGGTTCTTGCCTTGAGTTACCTGCACAATTCCTCCTGATCTTTCCTTACCTGATACAGATTTACAGGAGCAATTATCCAGCCCAATGTGTACTCATACGAACTTGTGGCTTTCTAGAACCATGAGCT